GTACGCGACGAGCTCGCCGGCCGCGTAGCGCCGCAGGGGCTGCAGCGCCAGCAGGCGCGCGTCGCCCTCGACCAGGGGCGCCCCTGGCACGCCCGCGGCGGCCGCGGCCTCGTACCCTGCGTCGTGCCCCGCGGGCAGCAGCAGCGGCACCAGGGCCGGCAGCGCCGCGGGCCCCCCGCCGCCGGGCCCCGCGCCGGCCTCTATCAGCGGCGCGAGCGGCAGCGCGACCGGGCTGCCCAGCTCGCGGCTGAGCGCGCCGGCCAGCAGCTGTGAGAGCGGCAGGCCGGGCGGCGGCTGCGCGACGAGCAGGGCGCCGCCCGGCCCATGCTGCGCAAACTCGTACACGCGCTCGCGCCCGGGCAGCGTCACGTCCGTGCCGACGCCGCCGACGCCGCCGTCTCCGTCGCCGCCAAGCGGCCGCAGCGTCAGCCGTGTGCGCAGCTCCCTCACAAGCGCCAGCCGCTGCCCCGCGCTCCGCAGCGCGGCGGCGACGCCCCGCGGCCCCGCGCGCGCGACCTCCCGCAGCTCCCCCCCGCCGGCGCCGGCGCCGGCGCTCGCGCCCGCCGCGCCCGCGATCAGGCTGTAGGCCGCGGCCGCAAACTCGGGGCTGGCCAGCAGCTCGCGCAGCGCGGCGGCGCTGAAGCCGTCAATCTCGTCCAGCGGCTGCGCGGGGCCGTCCTCCTCCACCAAGGACTCCTGGACCGCGTTGGTGATCTGGGGCACCCCCAGCCACCGCGACACGTGTCGCGGCAGCGACGGGTGCGCAAGCGCGACCGCGCGCGCGTCGACGCGGCCGAGCAGCCGCGCGCCGAGGCCGCCGTCGACCGCCACCAGGGAGCGCGCGGGCATCAGCGCGCCCGCGGCGCTCGGCGCCAGCAGCGGGCGCGCGTCGCCGGCGCCGTCGGCGGCGGAGGCGCGGCGTGCGGCGCGGAGGTATGCGACGTCTGAGGGGTCTGAGCAGGTGGCCAGGACGGCCAGGACGCGGCACGTGGCGGCCAGCTCGTTGGGGTTGAGGCGGCGGCCGGCCAGGTGCTGGGCAAACGCCGACATGGACTCCACCTTGGGGGGCGCGCGTTTGGGAGGGTGGTTGGAGAGAGACCGTCGGGGGTTGGTGGTCAAAGGGACAGAGGATCAGGGTTAAGATGCGACAGCAGGGACGCACACAGAGCACGAAGCGCCAAACATGATTGGGGATGCCGTCGCTGTGTGATGGGAGAAATCGACCGCCAGCCACCACAGTGACTGGCCCTGTCGATCTGTCGTTGGGGCCGTCCAACCCCTCTTGCGGGCCCCCCCGCCCACCAAGTCGCGCGCGCTGGGCTCGTCCTTCAAACCGATGGACTTGAGCAGCGCCAACCGGCCCCCTCCCGCCAGCGCCGCCGGCAGCTCGTACGCATACGGCGCCAGCCCCGCGCCGCCGCCCACCGCGCCGCCCCCGCCGCGCAGCGGCAGCCGCAGGAACGCGCGGCCGGGGGCCACCAGGCACGTCGCGCACGCGACGGGGACGAAGGCCGCGGCGGCGGCGGCGGCGGCCTGGTCGCGGCCGAGGCCCTGGCGGTCGAGGTGGTCGAGCAGCTGCCCGGCAGCTTCCTCGGGGGAGGCCAGGCCCTGCGACGGCCAGGACGTTAGCAGCCCCTCGGTGCGGCAGGCGGCCTCGACCTGCGTGCATGGGTGTTTTGTGCAATGAGGAAATAAACCTTTTGTGGGTTGCTTGCACCAGGGCTGTGCGGGCTGAATACATGGCGTGCGGATCAGAGATATATTAGATGTGATTGCCGCTGGCTCAGAATGACATGGGCTGGCCGTGACGCGGAGTTGCAGGGGACCCAATAGCGGCCGCCAGCGATCACAGCGAGGGCGCACTGCTGCAGCGCAGCGGCCCGCGCTCAAAGGGCTCGCACCGCCTGCATGTGGCGCACGACGGCGCTCAGCGGCGGCGGCGACCGCAGGCCGAGGGCGGACGCGGCGGGCGTCGGCAGCGGGCGCGCTGCGTCCAGCAGGGGCAGTGCGGCCCAGCAGAGCGCCCAGTCCGCGGCCAGCCCGGCCTGCGCGTGGCAGGCCAGCACGCGGCGCGTGGAGGGGTGGCCTGCGGGGGGTGCACGGACCAGGGGTGTGGTGACAACGAGAGGGATTCGAAGGACCCGGCAGTTTCTGAGTGTTGTGAATAAGTGAATTGATGCATCCACCCAGTATAGGGTGCAGAATGGACACAGATAGGTTGGCACGGGCCCTCTGGTTGCTGACCCACGCACCTGGCAGTCCAAACATCGCGGGCACGAAAGGCAGCCGCGCCAGCTCAGCCCTCTGCTGCGGCGCCGACCCCGGCCCCAGCAGTGCGTGGTGGTGCGCGGCCAGGTGCCGCTGCAGCGCGCCGCCGCAGGCCACCAGACGCTGCTCCTGCGCCGCCGGCAGCGCCGAAAGGTCAACAAACGCCGCCGCTGCGCTGGCCCCACCACCTGCAGGCGGCGCCGTCGACGACGCAACGAGCGGCCGCCGCCGCTCCCGCTCTTCGGGAGTCGGCGGGCTGTCCGTCGTTTCAACCGCCGCGGCCGCGATGGCGGCGGCCACCTGTGAGAACTGACCTGCCAGCCGCAGGAAAGAGTCCAGATCCACCTTGTGGACGAGGCCGCACTCACGGAGCACGGGCAGCCAGGCGGCCGAGTCAAATGGGGCCCCGGGGAACAGCGCCGCCGCCGCTGCGGCGCTGACGGACTCCGCGGCGCTGTCCTGCTGCTGCTGCTGCTGCTGCTGCTGCTGGAGGCCCAGGAGGGGCAGCATGACGTCACCGAAGAGCTGCTGCTGCGGATCGTAGAGCTCTGAGGGCCGCCGCCGCGTGCCGTCGCGGGCGGTGACAAAGGGGGTGGCCGCCAGGAGGGCCGCCACCTCAGCATGGTGCTCGGGGTCACGAGACTGACGCGAGGAGGTTGGGCAGGCGGCAGAGGGCGATGGTCATGATGATAAGGAGGAGGACGAGGTGGAGGAGAGGGCTAAAGAGGAGGTAGAGACTAAACATACATAACACGATGCAACAGTACCACAAGGCGGAATTGGGTAGTGGCCTGGTGCATGAACGTTGTGGGGGGACATGGTTGCAGGCACACTTGCATCAGACCCCCCTGGGCTGCGCGCCACGACAAGCAGCCCAGCCACCATATTCCGGCAGCCAGTGGCCCAAGCTGAGGTGAGCGGCGTCAGCCCCAAGCATGCCCCAGTTGGCACAACCGTCCTGGCCCCACCCCCAACATGCGGCGCACCTTCATGCTGCCCCACTCCCCGACCACAAACGTCAACAGCGATGCCGCCGCCGCTGCCGGCAGCGCGCCCAGGCGCGGGAGCAGTAGCCGCGCGGCCAGCTGTGCGGCCGAGGCGGGCTCCAGGCCTAGGATGTGGTAGAGCTCCCCGCTGGTGGGGGAGGCGCGCAGCAGGCGCGGGTAGGCCTCCGGGGGCAGCAGCGACGCGGCACCTGCAGGAGGACGGGCGGAGCAGAGGCGGCGGACAGGACGATGTCGGGGCGTCACTCAAGGCGTACTCAGTCGAATCAACCTGCATTCAACCCCAATCGCGCTGTGCTGAGCCTGCACGACGAGTCCCCTTCCCATTTTCAACACAATCAAAGAGCCTCGCTGCTGCAAGGCCTAGCTGCCTTGCGGCTCTGCTCCTCACAGCACCAAGAAAAGGGGCCCCACCTCCCAGCTGGTCCAGGCAGCGTGCAGGTACCAGCAGCCAGTCGGTGCGGTCCCCCAGCGCCACGAGCTCCTCCCGCTCCGCCACGGCCCCACTGCCGCCGCCGCTGGCCGCCTCTCCGCCTTCCGCTGAGGTTGATGGACCGTCGGCGTTGAACGCCGCGGCGGGGGGTGGCAGGCGGGCGTAGAGGGGCAGGGAGCGCAGCAGGTCGACCTCCGGGGCTGCCAGGTCGCGCGGCGGGTGGTCCGACAGCAGCTGGAACAGGCGGCCGCGGTCCTGAGGTGTTGAGGAGGAGGGAAGGTGGTGCATTTTGGTGGGTTTGGCGGATGGGGGCGGCGCGGAGCCCGCATCTCATTTGTGTTGAAGAGGTGCGAGAAGACGAGCCTGAGGAGGCCGTCAGAGAGGCTTCAACAGGCCATTGTAGCTTTGACCTCCACGCTTTCCCCAGCCTCGACCGGAGACACGACAGCCGTCTGTCAGTCAGCACACCTGCACGCTCCATGCCGCAGGGTCCAGCATGCCGGCGCTGCACACTGCCGCCATCTTGCGGACCAGGGGCCCCAGGAAAGGCGGCCGCCCGATGCGCGGCCGCGGGCCAGTGAGGGGCGCCAGCACGGCATGGAATGCGGGGTCCAGGATCGGCTGGCCGGCGCGCTGCAGCATTGGCACCAGCCAGTTCCAGGGGGCCGGCAGCGCGGCCTGGGGAGGGTTGCAGTGGGCGTTTGGGAGATGTGTTGATTGTGGGCTGTGTGCTGGCAAGCAACGCGCGAGCACTCGTGCATGCTCATGTGCAGGGGTGCATGTGCCAATGTGCATAATCGTGTGTGTGCATGTGTGTGCGTGCATGTGTGTACGGTAGAACATGCCCGCGCTCCACCCGTCCCTGCTGCACTCACCCAGGGGTCACTGACGCTCGGCCCTGCGCCGCCCGCGCCATTCCCCTCGTCACGCCCAGCGGCCCCCTCCTCATCCGCGCCGCGCCGCCCCTGTGCCACGGGCGATGTGCCGTCACAGGCCCCGTCCTCGCCGTCACCCCCTAGTTCCACGTCATCCAGGCCCCCATCCGCCACCAGGGCCGCCTCCAACAGCGACGCCCGCATCAGCCGCCCGTCCGCCAGCGGCACCAGCAGCAGCGGCCCCAGCGCAGACAGCCCTGATGCGCCGTCCGGCGCCCCCCACTCCGCCGCTGAGTCCGACGCGTGCCGCACCAGCCGCCACGCGTCCCGCAGCCACTCTGGCCGCGGCCCGCCGGCCGCGCCAGCGTCCCAGCGCGCGGCGGCGGCGGGCGCGTCCGTGGCGGCGGCCCGCGCGTCGCGCGGCTCGGGCGCCGCC